GTTATAGTTAGAGTAGCATCGCTGAGATTAGTGGTAATTTGTAAAAAAAAAAAAAAAGTGCTGGTAAATAAGGTGATAAAATAATAAAATATAGATATTTGCAGTTATTTTATATATTCTATATATTGAGTTTGCAAGAAATAATATATAATACAACATCAACATGACCACCCCATCATTTAAAAATATTCTATTTGATGTGTTTACTGCGAAAGATAGATATAGAAATGTAAATTTGTACTCACTTGTACTTTGTTTTTGTGATGTAAATGTAATCACTGTGATCTCAGTAGTTGCCTCGTTCTGGGTTGATGGAGGTTCATCCGATGCTCGGACGGAAGTATGAGTGGACGATAATAATTTTGTATTCGATTTCGCAGTTGACGATTTAATATTCGTTATTGGTGTCTGTGTTGTTGACCTTGTGTTCATTTCTTTTTCTAATGATGGTAATGCCGGGTTTGCAATTTGCTTTGTTGTCGAGGGTGCTGAAAGTACAGTTCGAAATGTGTGACTACTGTTTGTATCAGAAATAATATACTGGCTTATATATTAATTATTAGAATTAATTAATTGTACTCAGTTGTCATCGGTATGTTTAATGTAGTAGATGATTAATAGTTTTGACGTGGTCAGTGGTGCAATGTTCCTTGAATTCATGAATATATTCTCTTTTTTCGAGTCGTGTAACAATGAATCGATATGAAAAACAATGTCTCACCTTTCCGATTACAGCCAATGACTGGTGGACATGGCGGTGGCGACGACGAACAACCACAGAAAATCGCGTCACTTGTTTCGACACGTGAACTATAGCTCACTCCAATGACCTAGATAAATATCCGCAGTTAGTCTCAAGCGCCAAGGTTCGAAGTCAAAATGCAAATAACAATTTTATGTATTTATTTTGTGAGTAAGCAAACGGAAAAGTGTTTACTACAAAGTAAAATTTACCCTCTGGCTAAACTATTTATGGCGACGCCAGCTACGTTAATTGGCATACCAGACATCGCATAGTCGTAACTCAACATAAATAAATATAACATAAATATAAAATGTTTATTATTGGTCGATTATTTTGTAACAAGCACAGACACGCTTATGTGGAATAGTAGGTGGTACCTATACATATGAAACAATAAACACAATCATTTGCATGTTACTCAGGTGTAAACCCTGGCTATGACGCGTTAATGGAGTTCAAGAAACTAATGAACAAAATACGAAAACTGTGGAAATACGTGTGCAAAATAAAGCATCACATTGCTTGATCTGAACTGGCTATTATTGTGTTGTGTTGTGTTGTGTTACGGTCGACATGACGCCCCAACTATTGAATACATAGCGTACTTACAGTAAATCACGTAATGAACACCGGGCTAGGGGCCCCTTTGTGAATTTAAAGTTGAACTCGGGAGTTGTCTCGGTATATGTTAAGTAATATATCTACTACTAAGCGTTTACAGTTGACGAGGGTACTCGTATTGGTAAAGTCTTCATTACTCCGTCTCGCGCTATTTTTTGTATTTTTATGTTAACAAAAACACAAATATGAATATTGAAAATAATATATGTACGGTTTCTGGATAGGGACACTTCTATCCAATGACACCAGTAGAAATAGCTTTGCTGACTTCAAAGTCATGAGTCTATTATTGCGAGGCGAATGGTACAACGCGTATAAGAATGACATGTTTAGTCAGCACAATAAACTTACGCAGTCCAGAGACGGCGGCACGAACCATCCCTCGCGCCGAAGGTGTGACCTTACTGGGGAATCCGGGGCATTTTGAAATCTAGACCATCTAAAACGCTATTTTCTGCTGTTTGAGGGGCAAGACAGGTATTCCTCTTCAACTGTGACACAAATACACAAAGGGTTTCTTGACAATTGTTGGCCCCCGTGCCGCCGCCACTGCAGTCTGACATTGTGTCGGATCCTTACCACTGAGAAAACTCACGCTTTCTTACATATAGAATATTAGCGAACATTTATGTATTAAAAAGACACCGGCGTTACGTTAAAGTTATTCCTCTTACAGCGTATACATGAGTAGATAAAACAAATAGCGACTCTATTATTGTGCCGGCAATATTGCAGTAATAGACTCTTTTGATAATAATATACCTACATTACAATGTAGCATTTCCATTCTACAGCAATATTTTTTGTAATGTAGCTATTTTGTTAGCAAATCAGTGTCTAATACTGCAAAATTGCCGTTCCTTCCTTTCTTGTGATCACAGTAACACACTTACCATATTTGTATTATGGAAAACAAGAACAATTAACCAGCTGCACACGATGACACGTGGATGGTAAGTGTGGAGAAACATTGCAAAAACTGCCATGCTTGTACGAAGGGAAATGAATAATATTTTTTTGCGTCACAGTAACAGGTTCTACTTAGTGACTGTTCCGAAGGTCACTTATGGCAGTCATAATAAAGCTATAACTAATATTCGGCGTCATATCACCAAGGCAACATATTTTGTTCACGACCGTAACATTGTAAATCAATTTATTTTTTCTAGTTGAGTAGTATACTTCAGTGGGTATGCAATAAATAATATATAAAACAACGTCAATATAACCACTCCCATCACCATAACGCTTAAAAGAGCGGAATATTGAAACTATTTCAGCTTTGCAAGTATAACGATGAAGTTGGTGCGTTTATGGGATCAACTTTGCGAACGTTTATCCGAATAGATAAACTCTGGATTGTGTCTTTTTCAAAAGTGAAATATACTCAGTCAAATCTAGATTTTTATTAAAATTCTGACATAACTGCATAAATGGTTTTAAAATTAAAGTTACTAATGCTCACATAATACAATCCATTAGTAAACCCGTAACAATATAACAGTTAAAACAAATTGTATCAGTCCATGTTAACGATGTGATTCCATGACGTTCATAATTGTAATCAGAAGTTCAAAATACACAATGCGAAATGCCTTTAGAATTATGTGACGTTAGGTAACAATGGTAATGTGTTTAATGACTGATACGTCATGTATCCAGATTGGTGGATTTCACTATTTCCATACTCTTGGATATATATATATATATCATATATTAGTTTTATTCTGCAACTGATGGATACGATGAGTAAAATTCATAATTGTAATTGGAAGAATGGTTATGACCCCCACCTGCGTGATTATACTGAACTTGGTTGGCACGATGATAATCTGGATCACGCGAGAGTTCGGTTGGAGGAGACAATCTGTATTGTTGGTCAAGCATCATGTTATGTCCATCGTTTTTGTAGCGCGGAGAGTTTCTATCCTCCATGTCGACATTAATATGGTCATTTTTGAGCGGTATATATAATGGATTGTAAACTACCAACGCTCTCATGTCAAAGGCGGAAAGTCGTCTTGCATTGTAGTTTGGAATCTCGGTTGGCCTTTCTCTGTAAACAGAATCCGGCACTGAAATTTTCCTCCCCTTTCGAAAGTTCTCAGAACGTCTTGGAATCTCATTTCTAGTTTTTCCGTTAAAATAATTCGGTGCTGAATTTCTTCTCCCCTTTTGAAAGTTCTCGGAACGTCTTGAAATCTGTTTTGGTATGTGGCTGTAAACAGAATTCGGAGTTGAAATCTTCCTTTGTCTTTCAAAGTTACCAGAAGGTCTTGGAATCTGATTTGGTAATTTGCTGTAAACAGAATCTGGTGTTGAAAATCTCCTCTGTCTTTGAAAGTTCATAGAAGGTCTTGGAATCTGAGGTGGTAATTGGCTGTAAACTGAATCAGGTGTGGAATTTCTTCTTCCTAATTCAAAGTTCTCAGAACGTCTTCTCATTTGCCAATTAGGATCGCTACAATTAAATTGAGATGTCATCTGTTTTTCCACAGGATGTCTTCGTCTGAAAAAGCACAGTATACAAGATATTAAATTGGATTAAAATAAATAAACGTGTATATGAGTTCTGACTTTTCATTGATTTTGATTTTGTTAGTTGTTGTTTTTGAAAAGCAGATTTATATGTATGTTAACTACTGGATGTATCGTATCTCACGTGTTTATATACTTCATAAGTATTAAAGAATTATATGTAATGACAATAAGAAGTCATTTGTAAATGGTAAAGTTATGAGAAAATTCGTTCAATGGTCGATTTATAAAATCAGTATAACAATATATATGTGTTGCAATGTCTTATGTTATGTACAATATATAGTTTTATTGTATTCGCTTTCATTGCGAAAGAATACAACTCAAATCTTTTTAGAAATTGTACTTGCAAATGTAGATGTGATAAAACATTATGATTATAACAAGCCAAGAAATGAGATAAACAATGATCACGGAAAAATTAAAATAATGAAAATTTACAACTTACTTTATTTTGATGTACACGATGGATATAACGATCACGGTCACACTCACGCTACTACACACTCCAACAATTGTAGCAATAAGTTCTGAAAATCAAGGAGCATGTTTTATTTAATTTTGCGGGAAAACTACGTTTTTTTTACAATTTTGAATAAAATGCGAGAATTAACAACTTACCCGCAGTCGAGATGTTGTTCGGCTTCCTATTTGTTGGTATCCCTGTGACTGATATAAAAATATATTCATATGTAATGTTTATGACGCAAATGTGACAAGTTAAAACAGAGTGATTAAATCGATGTGACAATGTGTATCAATAACAAACGTGCATTTGAATATAGAATTTGTATTATGAAGATAACCTGTTTATCCAGCGGATTAATAATTAATAGTATTCTGTTATAATTACCGATTTTACCAGAATAGGAGAGTTTTAACAAATGATAAATATATGGTGATGTGGATTGTATTCACCTTTTGTTTGGATAAAGATCGTATTTTCTGACATAATGTCAGGTTGAGTCGTTGTTGGCAGTGTTGTGCTGATCGTTTTCTTCTTCGTCGTGTTGAA